GTTTGTTCTTTAGGCCCATCGACTGCCATGGTCATTGAGGCTGTCAACATGTTGAGACTCCTCACCATTACTGAGGATGTGCACAGCATTTGCTTAGTTGTTGTGTAGCTTAGAGGAAACACTGCTAGTCAGTACTATGTTTTTGTTATTTCTTTATTTACAGGGGCTTTTTTGCTAGTGTAATGTGGATCCCACTGTGGCAAGTGGTGCCTGACCGAGTATACTTTTTTTGGAAAATCCACACTGTCCATCCTATGACCATGCTCGATGTCAGTTACATTGTAGCTCCTCTTACAATGGATCTGATGTACAATTCCAGATGCTGCCAGGTATTGGTTATGCATTTTTCAATTGTCATCTGTGCCAAATCAATTACATCACAAGATTAGATTATGCAAACTATAGAGGTGGAGTCTTTTGCTTCATAAATATGTTCATCCCAATGGACAATCATGAGTAAAGCAAACAGGGATTGCTGCCCATTTCTGATGCTCCATGGCATTGAGAATGTTCCTACCATGGACCTGATGTACAATTCCAGATGCTGCCAGTTGTTGGTTGATTGACTCTGTCTGTATGGTAGCTCTGCTTTTCAAAATAGGGTATTGCAGTCACCCGTTGCACTGCCTGTGGTGGTGCGGTCCTCTGGACTCTCCAACGTGTTTTTTTCCTCCTTTCTTCTAGTAGAGTATGAGAGTCCTTGACACTTACTGGTTCCTAGCTGCTGGGGTAGTGGATCATGGAGGCTTATCCTCCTGAGTTATTAATCATACCACTCATTTGAGAGTAGGGTAGTGGCATTCTGTGGGTGTCGATGGTGTATCGTGCTTCCTACCTGATGTACAATTCCAGATGCCATCAGGTTTGGGTTGTAGCACTACACCATATTAATATATTTAAATATGGCAGATTGCTTTTTGCCACTGTGCATTCCTCCTTCCTACCATCCTCCAGATGTACTTTTCTGGTAAGTCTAGTGTTGGTTGGAAATGATCCAGTCATGATTCAAATCACTGTGTCAATGGCATGATGCCCTTTCTACCACAGACCTGAAATATATAATTCCAGATTGCATCAGGTTTTGGTCCAAGCACTCTACCATGTCACACACACATACATACATATATACACACACACACACACACACACACACACACATATTACAGTTTGCCCCTCAGGCTGAGATGTTCCTCTTACCTACCATTCTCAGGATGCAGTTCCCAGGGGATCTGGTGTTGGTTGGAGATGGTTCAGCTAAGTAAGTCCTCAAATGTGTTCTGGCTGGTATTCCTCCTCCTCCTATAGAATGGGTTAAAAATGCCCAATACCTCCAGGTTTTGAACTAGAGATGCACCCCAGGTTAGTGGTCCCTCTTTTTACCATTTGCTAAATGTTGGTTCCTGGTGGATCTGGTGTTGGTTGTAGTTGGATGAAGCACATGTATTCCCACTTGTGTACAGTCGGACATCCTACTCATATAGCGGACTGGAAGAAACATACCCAATCCTGCCTGATTTTAGACTAGAGATGGTGGATCGAGTGTTGGTTGGGTTGGAAATACATGCAAGTGGAGATGGATTTTTGTTCAGAAGCTCGTCTTCCGTACCAATTCCTGTTTTGAGGTGAAGAGGTGGGTGATCCCCAGTTTACTGCAGTACCGATGTACAATTCCAGATGCTGCCAGGTGTTGGATGAGGTCGAAATACCACTACAGTCTGTTGTGCCCTAGCCACTCAACACTCAGGGGTCCCATTAATAGTTAATACATGGGATTCCTATAAGGTTTTCCACCTTTTATGTTTGTGACATAGTCATAAAAGAGCAAAGAGTATACGTTGATCAGATTTGGTTCGGTCTCCTGCTGAGGTGTAATGTCTTCTTTTTTTGGTTCCACACCTCATGGTCTCTCTTTGGGCACTTCCTAAAGGGGGAACATTTTTTTCACTGGACTTCCACCAGTTCAATGTGGGATTCTAGCTATTTTGTGAGAAGAGGAAAGATATCGTATTGGAAGTTAACATTTTCCTAAACTGAAAATGTATTACCGATAGATACTTGCCTCCTCTCACCTAGCCTCCCCACTTCCGGTGATATGTGGTGAAAGTTCTATGACCAATCTCGAAGTGATTAACGAGTGTAAAATTGGAAAGGATGTTGGTTACAATAGAGGTTGTGTCATGCTCCTATTGGTGGAGAGCTGCTGCATAATCATTTACATGTGTATATGCAGAAGTGGGAGGTGGAAAGATAGTGGCAAGCATTGAAAATTTGTGCTGATAGAGGGCAATACTAATTGAGAAAAGCTATTTTGTGAGAGGAAGTATCTATCTGAAATATATTTTCAGTTTAGGAAAATGTTAACTTTTATTAATGTGTTATTTTATGTAATCTTTGGGTATCAGCTAAATTTTCTACAGAACATTAGCATCAGGAATATTAAAGAGTATAGGCAGGGCATGAGAATAGTCTTTAGGTACATGTCACATTTTGTGGTAATTTTTTAGATTGGTCAAAAAATGGGGTGGGAGAACATGTACTGAGAGTCATTTATTGTTTGCTTGTCAATACTTTTGAGTTTTGTTGCAGTTTCCATTTTAACAATCTATTGTTAAGGATAATAGGGTCTACCTTACATTACACATCTTGAGAAGCTTTCAATAAACACCATCAATGCACCTAGAGTTTGGCTTCCAAGACCACATATAAGCAAACCAAAGTCACAAAAATCTATTTGATCTGCATCAGGGGACTGTAAGCAATTAGCCATATGTGATTGCTGGGATTACAGTTTCTTTGGCAAACTTTCTCGTGAAACAGCCATGGATTTTGAAGTGTAACTAGAAACTTGTGAGCCTTTTTCCAAGCAGAAGTCCTGTTCATTGTCTTCTTACTGGTGTAAGGGGATATAGTGGGTTTTTGGGTCAGAAGTTTTTTTTTTTTTTAATAACCAAATCCTGCATGGGGATCCTTTTTCTACATATTTTACTTCCCTTGACCAGCTACCCCTCATATAAACTCTTCTCTTAAACTTATTATTGGATTTTTATGAAAAATGTGCTCAAACTCAACCAAAAGTATAGAGGTGGTCCAAAAGTATCATTCCTATTTTAAAATTTAATAATTGAGGAAAAACAACCATATAGTTTTCAACTTCTTGGAGCTTAACTCAACAGTTTTTTTTCCACTCTAGTGAGTAATGCTACCCCATAAAATGGCAACCATGCAAGAAAAGACTCAACATGTTGTTTAGCTTGCAGAGACCAAGTGAATGACTCTGGTGCAGTGTAATTACAAATGCTAGTACAGAAAAGAAGTATGGGGGGTATGTTAAGGATATCATGTATCACACACCTTAGCAAACATTGTGAAGCTAAAACAAGAATAATAGATGCCATTGCAGCAAATGTAGACTGAAATCAAATATGGTGCACATGTAGAAGTCTACTAACATGTCAATAAAAACCATTTGAGTTAGGTTATAAGATGTTGAAAATTGCACAGTTGTATTTCCATAATTAGTTAATTATTATTTTTTAAAACAGGAAAGATAATTTTAGATTACCCTATGTAATGGAAATGCCCATAAGTCGGATATACATGTGTTTCCATTTCAAAATTATGCACATGCTTATGGTAAGGTCAATAGTTCTCATGATTAGTACTGTACATGATCATCTAATTTTAGTTACTTATTAATAACTAACATTTTGTTTATTATACCTAGATACTGATTACTAATTATCATTTTTAAATGTATTTTTGTTATTTAATTTATTATTGTTTTTATACATAGATTCTAATTAGCTTTTGATAATTAATAATTAGACTTGGGTGATGATAGATGCTACTAATCACAACAGTTATTTGAAGAATGGGATGGCATATAAATCTCAGATTTCTTAGAAGCAATTGCTTATTTTCACACGTCTAACATAACAGTTTATGACCTTGAACCGAGGGAGGCAATAACATATAATTATGTCAACATTTGTACTCTGTAGGGAGGATAAGCATTTATGATGTGCAATAGAAATGAAAATTAAAGAAACTGAAAGCCAGACAAAGATCACAAACTTTTCCAGGTGAAACAATTATTGGACATATAAGCAAAACTGTAATGTATTGTATCATTAAACAATCATGGAAGTGTGAAAAAAAACAAAAACTTTTCAACTTTTTTGCTTTAAAAAAATCATAATATACATTTTTTAATAAATGTTTTCTTCTCCGTGTCTTTTGTTTTTTCTGTTTTAGTTGATAGTAGTTACTACTTGTAAGTAAAAACCGTAGTTCAGCAGCCACCCATGTTACACAGACAAAATAATCCCATTCCTTGGCTGACTACTTAAGAGAGGTTATACTGTATATGAATGCTAAACATGTCACCCATCCCACCATAGCTCACTTCTGTGATGAAATACCCTACATTAGACAAAGGGTAAAACAGAAAACTAATTTGGGTGGTGGCAAGTGTTTGTGTAGCAGAAACTTGCTGAGGATTTGGGCTGAGGCTGTAGGGGCACTCGAAGCGAAAAAACTAATAGATATTTTTAATCGACAAAATTAATAGATGCTTTTAAATATTATGTGCATCTACTCAGATAGGTTTTGGGGTAAAACAAAATACCAAAAGATGTGAAATAGAGAAAAGAATCTAAACAAAATTTTCGTTTTTGTTTTTATTCTTTTTATTTCTAGTCGAACTTTTTCATTACATAATTTTTCGAATTTGACCATTGGAAATATCGTGCCCAAAAGCAGTGACCATTCCCAAATTTAGCCTGTATTACTCCCTGTTAGAGTATATATATATTTATCAAATAAAGTGTGATCAGTTCTTTAAAGTGTATGTTAATAATAATGAAAAAGTTTGTTTTTTAAATGTTGTTAAAAAAATTTGTAACTGGTCCTAATGATATATTTCCAGTCAGTAAGAAAGTACATTTCATTGGCATTGTTCATTTTGAGAGCTAGATTTCACACAATGGGTAAATTGACTTGTATTTATTTAAATGCTGCTATGCAAGCATGCAGTTGAAAACATTGAATTGATCTTGCATAGAACATTTTATTTTCCATTCTGTGTTCAGGGCTCTTCCAAAACATCAGCAAAGAATAGCTTTTGGGCTTTCACATTTACTTACAGCTCCTAAAAGTTATGGTAACATTAGTATTTTTCATTGAATATAATTTTGGGAGTATATAACAGTTATCACACTCTAAGCCACACCACATGTTTCACAGAAATTTTAAACCTTCTAAATTCCCCAGTGCTTGATTTTTGTCTTTTCTTCTTTTATCAGATACAATTATGGAAGAGAAGATGAAGAAATTTACAAAGAATTTTTGGAAATTGCAAATGATCTTATTCCACATTTAGTAAAGGTAGTTAGTAATCAAGCAATTGAAGCTCCTGAGAAAGCAGAAAGTAACTGTCTGCATGATCCACAATGCTTTGCTCATCTGTTAAGATTTTATGATGGTCTTTGTGCATGGGAAGAAGAATCATCCACTCCTGTATTACATATTGGTTGGGCTCGTCCTCTTGTTGCCACCATTTCAAAGTTTCCTGCTAAAACAAGATCCCATGTGGATATCAAGATTTCTGAGGAAAAAGAAGAAAAAGTGGATGATGAAAAGAATGGTTCAGTTAATCGAAGACATAGTCATGGTAGACGAGATAGTCTTCAGAAGAATGATGTGAAAAATGAAGAAGACATTGTAAAAACAAAAGTTAATGGAAGCACAAATGTTTCTGATAAAAAAGCTGGTAAAATGAAAAAGAAACTACTAAAGAAAATAAGTGCTGATGCTGAAGCTGAATCAGTACATCAAGCTAAGACACAAGGTGATGGCCAAGACACAGAATTTTTACATTCGTTAGTGACAAACTATGATCCAAGTGAAGCACCACACCCCAACATTGCTGCTTTGGCTGCTGCTTGTAGTGATAATATACTTAACCCTGACTATCTTCTTGGGTCTGGGGAGCCCTTTTCTTCACGCTCTTCCAGCTCACCATCCTCTTCAGGTGACTGCAGAGACCTCCTCAGTTCTCAATCAAATGGAGCACCATTTCCAGGTCTTACTGTGGAAGCAATGTTGAAAGCAGACAGTCCAGCACTATTAACTCATGTGAGTAGACAGTATAAAATACTTAGGTGATGTGTTTTGATACGAAACAGCTTTTGTTCTTATTAGTAATTTGTTTTGATGAGGGAGCAGACCTTGTAATTAAACACATCAAAAATTATAACACAATATTCTTCAAAATATGAAGTTAGAGCTTTGCTTTCTGTTGTTTTATAAACTTCAGTTTAGAAAGATTAAGCACATTTTTAAATTGTTTTTGCGAATATTTCATTATTGCTAATTCATCTATAGTTATACATATTCTTTTTTTGTTTAAATAATGAGAAAATTTTTAAAAATCTTTGTATCTAGTTAGAATCTAAAAACATTTCAATGTAGAATTCATACTTTTTATTATTATTATTTACATTGTCTTTACATTGCTCAAGAATAACTAGTTATTCAAGATTACTGACCTTCTCGCATTCGAATCTCTTCTTATGGATATATATATATATAATCATATTTATACATCCTGAATTAACTGGTGGCTATTTTCCATGTTTATGTAATGCAGAAACTTTTACTGGAAATGGTTTTCTTAATTCAGCTACTTGTAAGAATCTACAAGTCAGTAATGTTGCTGTAAACCCAGTGTTTTCTAAGGATTTCATATTTGCCAAAGTTTTTGAATGTATCTGATATCTGTAAACGTGTATTTTTAGGGAGATGGCAATGATGAACTTGGTTCTACAGCAGAACACACCTCTGTTACTCTTTCAAGCCAGAAGATGACAGGTCTGAAAGAGCTATTGCTGACTGAAAAGCTGAACACTTCTGCCATTCAACTGCAGTTGACTGCGCAGTCGCAGGTACAAATTGTAAAGCGTGGACGACACAGCAGTGAATTTGATTTTGTTACAACAGGACGCACAACAAAACGCAGTCGGCGTGAATAGTCTGAACAGACCTAGTCAGTTGAAATGCTGAAGGAGGAAGGTATAGGCTTTTTTCCACAAGACCATGGCATGTATCTGCTCTTTCTTTTTTTTTTTCTGACAAAGAAAAGTATTGATGCATAAGGATTTTGTGTAAAGTTGTGCTCTCTGTGATGAATTGTATATAATGGTTATAATGTTACTTTGTTTCATAATGCTTTTGTGCTGTCACCTGTTTTATTACTTTCATGCATAAGTGTATATATATGTGTAGTCTGTTTATCATTACATGTTATTAAGAAATAATTTATACACGTACAGTCTATCTAAGTTTGCTGTTAGAATGTACATACTTTGATATGTGTTGTCACTATGAAGAGAGAACTGAATTCAGGCAGACTCATTTATTTATTGAGAGTTTTAAAAACTGTTATTTCTTTTTGATTCTGAGCCATCTTGTATTGTTATATTTTAATGCACTTGTATGACCGAAGTTTAGCCAAAATTTTTTGATGGTTTAATAGATGAAATATTACATGTTTACATATGAATTTTATATTATCTTGTGAAACTAAAGAAATAAAAAACTCAGTATGTTTTAACTTGTTTAACATTGAAAGTTTGGCATTGATTCCCCCACCCCCCCAATTGGGTACACTTTGTGTAGTAGTTTCATATATTGAAATTTCTCTGTTTTGTAAATAAATGTAGAAATGAGTTATCTTCAATATATATTTTAAGGATTGGTATATATATGTTACAGTTTGGGGAGAAACATTGAAAATGTGTGTAAAAATTTATGCAGCTCATGATTCATGTTTAATCAAACTGTATGTTTTAAACTTAATGCATCTGAAATGTGTTTGAAAGTCAACATTTAATGTGTCTTCTACATTTGCATTTGGGTATAGGTAAACATTTTAGTCATTTCACATGCACTGTGCATCATCAAAATTCACTTGGGTGTGGGCTGTGTTGTGCTAAACAAGTCAAACGTTTTAAGAACTGTACATATATTTTTCTGTGTCATAAGACATTGGGTATGGGCAACAAAATTTTAACTATGTGCACTGTATAACATCTCATGTTTTGTGTAAGAAAACTTGTGTAGGAAAAGGATTTGGGGTGATAAAAAAAGGCTTATAATTCTGATTAGAGACTATATCTGCTATTGCATTTGTTTCACAAAAAATGTTAATCCCATAAACATGTCTTAAAAATAAAAAAAGACTTCAGTTGTGTTACCAGAAAATGATTATTTTTACTTTATATTTGAGCACCAAAATTGGACCTTGTAGATGAATGTTAGCATAAGACTTGGGAAATTGTCTCAGAATCAATGCTCATGACAGCAACTATATACAAGTACATCCCGTAAAATTTGGATTTTATATCTACACTTAAAATTACCATTTTCTAATATACTTACTTGAATTTAATGATTAAATTTCTTGTGTGCAAAAATAGTATAGTTTTTTAATAATTCTAGTTTTATATGACTTACCTTGTAAACAACATGGCATACAGAAGACATTGACCAAGAAACTGTTGATATAAATGTGATTTTAATGTGTGTAGTTCACATTGCATGATAGGGATTGATTCTTTTGTAATATATAAAGACAGACAATATTTATTTTAAACCAAATAATAAGTCATCTTTGGGGATTCCATTGAATGTACTTAGTCAGATGTATTCACATTAATGGCCAAAAAATATATATACGATAAAACAAATTTTGCGAGTCATAATAAAATACAATTGGAAGTTTTACACTTATAAATTTAATGTAAAAGCAAATAGAAAATAATCATAGGCTTTAAATGAAATTACACAACAACCAGAAATAGGATATACTTGGGCAGATTTTGGATGATTTAATATTATCATCAGGGCATAACTGTGAAATTAAAACTATATGTTGTTTGTACATAATACATTTCACACTTATAAATAGATAGAAAACAATTACCAAAACTTTTGCTTACAAGCTTCATTTTACATTAGTAAACCATGAAACGAAAAAAATTTTTTGCCATTTAGTAGAATTTATAGTTTTTTTTTGTGTAATTAGCCAAAGTACCTGCACCAAATGTGGCATTTATTTTTTGCCATTATGGAGATAATGGGATGGCTTGTATTGCATCATTTGCTGGAAGGGGCAATGGGGAAAATTTAAATGGCTGTAGAACTCATTAAAATGAGAAAATTATTAAAGTAAGAGTTTTAAAAATCCATCTGGGTCATACCCAAGACCCTCTGAAAGTTGCACGGTGATCAGAGGTTGGAAATATTTTGCTATGAACCTTCACACAAATACAATTTTTTTTTATAAATATATGAAATTAAGATCTGCAGAAAATATATATTTATCTTGAAAGATAAAAAGAGGGTAAATAACTTGTTAATTTTTGTGTGTAAAATTTTGAGGGTAATGGAAATCATATCAAAGGGTGTAAGAAATTCGTGCATGCCTTTCCGTCGAGGCAAATTTATATGCCTAAGAATACAAAACTTGAATATCTGCCTTCATTTCATAAATTAAAATATCTGTGAATCAAAGAGGTAGAAGCACTTTTATTAAAGTCCTGGGTACAATATTGTATTGTTTCCATTGAATAATTCATACAGAAATCCTAAATAAGTATTAAATAATTTTTTTTCAAAAACAGCATTTTAAGAGTAAAAATTTTTGTTTTTTAAAAGAAAAATATTTTGAGCATCATATTATTGTAGAGATAGTTGTTAAGTGATTTAAATGAACAATATTCAGCATTAAAAGTAATAAAACCTTAATCTTTAATATTTTATGTTGTGTTTATGTACAGATATAAATATATAAAAATGGTTTTGTTTAAAAAGACATCCTACGAATGATAAGAAAGTGGATCTGTTGTTACATTGATAAACTTGTGCTTTTTGCAAGCATTGTTTTACTAAGATCAGAATGCAAAAAATTTTAAACATCTATAAATTGTCCTGTTAGAAGATCAACATTTAATAAGAATTCCTTTTATGGAGTTATTTGTTACTATTACATAAGTAGAATTACCTGCAGTTTGGCATGAAATTTTTTGTGTGTACAAGAAGTTTGTCTTCTTTTAATAAGACCTTATGTTCTCATGTTAAATATGTTAAAACTGGAATTCCAAACTTAATTAGTTGTGTTTACTTTGATTACCTGGGGTGTAGATTAGTATTCTCTATACAATGTTAGAATCCAGTCATATTCCCCAAAAGCTTAACAATATTTGCTTTTGCACATATTTACAACTGCTTGCTAACATATAATTAAAATGTTATTTTCTGAATAAACATTTCCTTCCAGACTTTAAGCAAAAATTTAAGTAATGTGATTTGAATAATTGTAATAGAAATGATTTAAAATAATTGATGTTGGAAAAGTATGTCTTTACAGGACCAAAATTGAGGTATGTATACAACTAAGTTTGTAGATGTAAATTTGTCACACACATAGTCAGATCAAACTCTGAAATATTCTAAACAGGCTTTTATTTAAATCGTGGTTTACGGCAAGGCTGAGAAAGCTTGAGAACATCGTAGATTCTGACTGGAAAAGTTACAGTTATTTACAGAAGATTTGATAACTATTAAGTAAAAAATTATGTGATGATTTTAACTGCAAAATTAAACAAGGTGTGATATTCATAATTTGTTTGGATTGTTTGAGGAACAAGTAATCTTTAAAAGGAAAAGTGTGCTTTGAAGAGAAGTTGGTTCAGAATGTGAGATAATCTTAAAAGAAATTGTTTATGCTGTATTTTTATGACTTACTGTATGAATAATTAGAAGTATTTTTGTAACTAAAGACTATAAAATGATTACAAGATCAAAATAATATAGTTTTAAATATTTTAGTGAATATGGCAAAGTGCTGAACAAAGCTGTGTGAATGTTAAAGTAGTTTATATTTGGAAAGATTTTTGTGATAAATTCATATAGATTTATATATTGATTGGAGAAACCTCTCCTTGTAAACGTTCAATTTATTATCTCCATGTTACTAATATGGAAAAGAAATTTGAAAGTGAGCTTTGGCTAAAGCAATGTAACTTAGTGCATTTAACATCTAAAAATTATTTTTTGAATGTGTAAATATGTTTAGTGTAAGCTTCAGAGGCTTAATGTTTTGTCAGTTTATTGGAAATACTTTTTTTGTGCCATCTTTCAGAGCATCCTTTCCTGTCACTGAGTCCTGTATCACAGTGTAAACGTGAATTACAAACATTAGTAACATGTTATTAAAGATTACCATCACTGGATTCCTTACCATGTATATGTATACTGTTGACATCACCAGTTCAGATTATTAGGATCAGAGGGTTTCAGGTGTTTGTTGTTTATAATGATTACATAAGTTAGCTTTTAAGAGTATCCTCTCTTAATTATGGGTGGTCACTGGGCTTGAAATTGTAAGATAAATGATAGTAGTATCTGTTTTTGAATGTCTTGATAACAGGGTTCCAGATTATGTGTATGTATGCTGGTGGGATCAATATTGTAAGCAGTTCATCTCAGCATGTCATGATTGTTGATGTCACTGTAAATAAATTAGTAACATCACTAGATTGACAGTTCTTTAGATTGTTATGACATCTGGATTACAGAAATATGTACATTGGTATTGTCAGTGTCATTAGTTCATCAGCTTCATAAATAAAAGTAAGATGATTATTTTGTTTTTTTATGAAAGTTTGAAGTACACCAAATTCAATTTCTTATTATTGTCACGAGGTCCTATATACATGAATTAGTATTGTTGGCACAAAAGATTCAAATTTAACATTTCTTTATTACTGGGTTCTAGCATAAGTGATATTGATGGACATACAAATAGGTGGTCCACATAATATCTGTGTTTTTGTATCATTGTTAGTTCTACGGTGTTTTCCATGTAGATCAGTTATGTGTTATATAGAGAAGATAAGCAAAGAAACTTTGTATTTTCTATAAGATACTTTTCTTTGCTTGATGTTGTTTACCATATTGTATTGTAGATTTTTTGCACAAACTCATATTTTACCATTTGTTTAGATTACAGATGTAACTGTTCACTACACGTAGTTTGTAAATGTCTTTTTCCATGGAAATGTTTTGGAAGAATTTGTTGAATTCTGCTTCTTAGTTGAATAGTGTACTTTCAATTGATGCCCAATGATAAGTGAACTTGTAGTTTTTTGCACTTTAATGATGTTTCAATGTATCTTTCCAAAATTTATTTTCTCTAGTTAAGTCGTGTGGTCTTGGACAGTTTTCCAGTTTAACTGTCAACTCGCATATGCAAGAGCATCAAGTTTCACATTTTTATTTCTTCCTCATCTGTAAAGAATATGTTATTAGTGAAAATGTCAGATACTGAATTTAAAAATCATACTTAAATATGTTAATAACAGTGGCAATGGGTGAAGTAAACTTTCCCAGGCTGAAATAAACCATCTCCTAAAACTCAAAACACTTGTTTTGTTTTTCTTTGTATTAGAATCTAACAAAAGCAGAGGTTCAAGTTTCTTCCTGCACAAATTCCTTCAAGTTGAATGAACTGTTCAAAAGTAATTCCAATAAATTTAGGATTTAAAAATTTAATCTTACCATACTCACGTAAGAGTATTTTTTCTATTTTTCTTGATTATGTTTTTGAATTTTCCTATTCACTTCTTCAGATCTTTACTGTGAAAAGGAAAATTCATACAACATAACCAAGAAAAGAAAGAAAAAGAAATCTTTTGAAGAGTAAGGTAAGACCAACCTTTCAGATTTAGAATTAAAGTGGTCAACACAAGTTACCAAAAAATATAGACCAATAAGATTCACTATCAAGTTACTGTGGACTAGAATAAGATATTGTCCGTAAGTGATTTCTTGAACGTAGGCACAACTTTTAAGACTAAAAAATAACGTTCATTCCAGTAAGACTAATAATATAAACTTTTTTTTAAAGTAACTGAAATTACCAGTTGTAAACCATCCTCAATAATAATTTTGACAACAAAAACCATACATCTTCTTTTATACTTGATATCTTTTAATGGCCTTGTTCCCAAGCCTCTCATCAGAAGACAAGGATGTGCTATAAAAAAAAAGCTCATTCTTACATATGTAAATCCTCAAGGCTAAGGTAACATTAAAGTTACAATTGTCAAAATAGATCTTTTCAAGGCCAGGTGGTTAGGGAGCTCGACTCGCAATCTGCGGGCCGTGGGGGCGTTGTAATGTGACGGTCAATCCCACTATTCGTTGGTAAAGAGTAGCCCAAGAGTTGGCGGTGGGTGGTGATGAGTAGCTGCCTTCCCTCTAGTCTTACGCTGCTAAATTAGGGACGGCTAGCACAGATAGCCCTCGTGTAGTTTTGCGCGAAATTCAAACAAACAAGATATTTTTTTCAAGTCTAAAATGTGCTAAATTACTTCAGTCTTCTCTTTGACTAACCATTGAACTGTGCTTTAGAATTATTATACCACAATTAACTTAGTAATGCTAAAGTGTATGTACTTCTTTTGCTTATCTTGAACGAAACCGCTGATGTTCAACTACTGTAGAATTATTCCAAATGCAAAAATATACATTTTTTTGTAATTATTACCAAAATTGAACTATTGAATATGAATTGTATTTTAGAATTACTAAACAAGCAGAAGCTAACAAAGCCTGTCCTCTGGTGGGACAGTGGTAAGTCTTCAGATTTAAAATGCTAAAATCAGGGGCTCGATTGACACAGCAGATAGCCCGATGTGACTTTGCTACAAGAAGACATACATACGCTAACAAAGCCAAATACATATTTGTCATTCCACACTATTGTAAACTAATTATCCCAAGAAGATTATCTTAGCACTTGATATCTGAATATTAATCAAAATGATGAAAAGAGATAGTTGATCTGTAATTCAGAAATATTACCCGAGGATAAATTTAACATGATGGATCTGTAAATCCGAACTTCACAAAACTATTAATTTTTAGTTTCAATTGCTTTAGACGTATTGTTGCAACCGAAAACAATTTATTTTCCCAAACTAGCAATAATACACTTTTATTCAGGAATATTTTGTGCCAGTATTCTGCATTTAGTTAACGTCCTTGTAAACATGATGTCGTAAACTTGCTTTAATCATCACTGCAGACATTAAAGAGAGCGTGCACTCGTCTATACTGCCTCTTCTCTGGTATGTAGGTCATACTTGGGAGGAACGATGGTGCAAGGGTTTGTATGAGCTACGAGTTAATCTCCCTTTCTGTGTGTTATGTAAATTATTACTGGCGTAAGTAATTTAGGATTGTGAGATACCATGTTAAATCAATGGTCTGGTAAAAAGCGTTGTTAAAACAATGCTATCTGCCTTATCTTGGCAATGAATTTCTGCTCAAAAAAAAAAAACGGAAATCTTCAGCAGTTTGAATAAGAAGTCGGTCAGCGTAATCGTGTAATGTTATATGCTTGAACACACCCGACAACTTTTATTGATAAATAAAATTTTACTATTTATTTTACACTTGTATTTGAATCTTTCCTTTGTTGTCCGTGTTTCTTTTATTTGTCTGTAAACATTCCCTTTAAATCTACTGTACAGCAAACTTTTTACCGATTGTTATCTGTAAGTACTACAGGATGAACTTACAAGATATATATGTAAATTAACTTAAAGTGGTTATACCAACAGGAAGCTTATGTGGAGTGAATGGCGATTTAAAAGTAATACACCATTATTATTACAAGAAGGTTGAAGGGTTTTTAACGTTGTCTTATTAAAACTTAACCTATGCTATATCAACAGTATAAAGAAGTGTAGTATACTTCAAATGTGGTTTAAAATATTTCGTACTAATATGAACACAGTAACATTGACTTAAGTTTTCAAAAGCAGAATAAACAGCGTAATTATAACAAGACTTTAAAATTTTCATGTCAGTCTGAACATTATATAATATTGAACTGTCTGTGAAAGTAATCGTACCTGATAAAATATAAAAAAATGTTAACTGACCCATAAGTTACCTATATTTATATATTATCACGGTGTTCAACTTCAACCTAGAAAATTAGACTATGTTCCACATCTTTACAATTCTCTTAAAGTTATAAAATGGCACTTACCTTTGTCTTGCCAGTTTGAAACACTAGATATATTTTTTATTCTTTAGTATTAAGTACATTGAGTTTACACAATTTTCATGAAGCAATACTTTGGAACTTCAGAGTACGATAGCATAACTAAACTTTTACATTCACTATTTCGTATAATAGTACTAGTGACTATTACTGTTAATAAGAACCTTCAAAAATGTACATGCTATTTTAGATAAAGTTTGCTTGTGGACTTTTCTTTGTTACTTTCAACCGAAAATGAATATTAAGAATGAATAAATCTGTGGTTTAAAAAAGTAGACAAGCTGAAAGAAAGTAAGATTTAGTTAATCGTAATGGCGGTTCATGATTGACAATTACCGTTGTGTATGCAATATGTTTTAAATGTAGTATATTGAGAAAATAATTAAAACCATAATGATAACATTTTATTTAGAATAACGTTTGTTTAAGAAACATCAATAAAATATTATTTCTTACCTATGTTTCAGAGACAGTCAGCTACTTTATAGTCTCAACTGAAAGAACTTCGTTTCACACTTTCATAACTAGTAATATCTTTTAATGTGAATTTTATTGACATTTTTGTTTGGTGTTCTGCATTAAGTCGGTGACTAATTCTTTAGTTTATAAAGGTCACACATTACAACCATTGTTTAGTGAGACCTATTTTCTTGGCCCAGTTTTATTCATGCCCTCCTAGAATGAGACCATACTCGTTTCAATGGGTGATACAGATGTGTACAAATTAGTATGGATTGATATTTATTTTATTTGAATATGTGTAATGAGAAGGATCGTTAGTGTAAATATTGTGGGATACTGCACTAGGTATCTTATCTGTTTTGAAAGTGTACATTATGATTCTTGCTATAGTCTTCGCTGTGTATAGACGTTCATCTGGTCAGTTTCAGTATCCAGCTGCAGTTAATAGCGCACGACGAAACCGACCAGCAATACTTTGTCATTTTATGAATAAAGATTTTGTGTTATTTGTAAGCTTGTGTTTGCTTCTTTTTTTTGACTGCCAATGCTAATTTTATTATTATCTGCATAAAATTTCCTGAATTTGCATGGTATTGTGGATAACTAATTTTCTTTTGGAAACTAGTATAACTGAATATCTCATCTTTTTCACAAGAATTGGTCTAGTTACTTTAGAATGAAAGCTTTTTTAAATACTGCTGTATAATGTCTTATCTGCATACGAAATTCTTATGACACATGCTAAAGGTGAAAATTTACACAAGCAGATAAATAAGGCATATCAATAAAAAGGGTCCAGCACATACTCCAAGGTTAGTCCCAAGTTAGCATATACCTTAGATCAGCGGTTCCCAACCTTTTCACCACCAAGGACCCCCTTTTATTATTATTTTTTTCCCCACGGCCCCCTATGTTTTTTTTAAGATTCCATCTACCCAGCAAACTTTTGTTACTAATAATTAACTTTGTTTT